TCACCCTCCCTGAGCAGAATACTAACAAGCAATGACCTCCGACCTCGCTGACCTAAAAATGGACTCAGTATGACCTCAGCACTGCTTCACCGCATGTCACTATCAGTCCCATCTCAGGTCCAGCTCCTCGTCAGAGGATGATCTACATTCAGAATCCTTCACCCTAACCTTCCCCCTCCCTCAACCATCAAACAGCAAAACGCACTGCTGCTCTCAGATCAGCAGTTAAAGACTCTGATCACCACCCGTCCCTGATGAGGCCTGTGGTGGCAGGGCCGCATGCTATAAATAAGCTCCAGAGGAGGGAGGCTTTAATTAAATATGAGGTAATGTGATCTCAGATACGACAGAGCAACAGCAGACAGACTATCCGTACACATCCGTTATCATTACCACTAAATGCTCCTCCAGCACTGAAACTCTACTCTGCTGTTATGACAACAGGGTCAAAGTGCAGGGGGAGAGGGGGATTAATACAGTGGATGGGTATTGGAAACACTATGACTTTTAAAACAATTAACAATGATCAAATAAATCTATACATGTATATATGATCTTATATGATTATCACAGTGTAAAAATGTGATATGCAGTACATGCTTCAGTGAGCAATCTAGTGTCAGTCTATATGTGCAAAAGTTAAAGATCAGCCTTCATTTTTTAATTTCCAGCCAAAACGGCCAATAACGAAAGTCAAAGTGAAAAAACTGCTCAAAATGTTTAGAAGAAACACAAAATGGGACTCTTAACAACCATGCAAGAGCTTGGGGAGCAGCAAATCTGTCTGTCAGATAAACAGTACTTAAGGCTTTCATCAAAATCAAGCTCCACTCTTGTTACAGATCTGAGAAAAAACACAGGTGTTTCTGTCCATCCTTCACTGCGAGAAGAGCTATAGCTCTGAAAGGATGTGTAGCTGACATGAACAAAAAAGGAGAACATTTGCAAATTAAACAAAGGCGTTGCTGGAGTGGCTGACCACCCCAGAGTCCAGACCCACACACACACACACATGTATATATATATGTACATATATATATATATATATGTACATATATATATATATATATATATATAATATATATATATATATATATTATATATTCAAACAAGAAAAAATCTGAAGACATGAAACAGTGAAAATTAAAGTGAGCTTATCTTGCTAAGTGGCTACTTTCTGACATCTCACTTTTAGCCAGACTAATCCACATTCACTAATGCCCTATGATAATTGGAACAAGAAGCATCAATACTAGGTACAGAACTTGAAAAACAACAACAAAGCCTGACCGAAAAGAATTCTGCTTAAGGGCCATGGCTCAAAAGGCCAGAGCAAGCGAAAGAAAATAAGAGTGCAAGCTTCAGGATGGGTGTACAAAGTTAAGTTATGAAAAGCTGAAAAGCAGAAGTGACTGACAGTGCTGTGGGAGTTCACCTCTGAGCCCAGTGCCCAGGCGGCTTTATGATGGATAACCTTGGCACAACGTTGGCGCCTATGGCACACTAAAAGTACGCCAGCTGAGAAGACCAATGCACGTTCCAAACCCCCCTCTACTGTAATAGCTTCCACATTTCACTCCCCCTTTCTGAAATGGGCTGTGCTGAACAACGTCAAAACAACACAACAGAAGCCACAGTGCTCAACAGCAGTCCAGGGCCCACGAAGCTAAAACACCTCAGTGCCATTTCTGGCTAAGTGCTTTGTTTTGGTACAGATTCTGTTGATGATGAATCCTTGAGCAACGACGCCTGCATCCTGCCCATTTTAGCCACATGAACCATTAATCAAATATAGTGGGCTACCAGTTAGCAGAACTACTGTATGCTGTTTGCGTGAACCTTCTTAGCATCTCTTTTGCTCTCCATCTATGTCACACCATCTCTGCTTTGTCATCATGTTCCTTTGCAAAACACACACAAAGTTCCCTCTCTCCTGAATTCACCCCCAGTAAATCACATGCATGAAAATGTCAGTATGGGCGAGGCCTTCGAGTTCCTGTGTCATCAAAGCCTGTTTCTTACTTTACACAAGCGAAACCCTTCATCCTATCTGAACCACAGTGCCCAGTTTTAGCAGTCATCAAAACTGCAATGTGCCCTTTGACACTGACTTTTTTCTTTCTTATATAATAAAACTAAGTGAATGAAGGAATAAACACCAAACAGCAGGAGACAGTGAGCTTGAGTGCAATGAAGCTCCAGACGGGGACTTAAGACCTAAAATGTGATTAAGGAACTATTTACGAATTAAAGGGATAAAGGCCAGTCAGACCCACTGCAGCTAAGCTTCTTGTCTTCTCATCACAGATAGAAGAAGCATAAAAATACACAATATATGTTACTGACGCTTTAAGGAAAGTACATATTAGGTTAAGTATAAAATTTGACTTAAACAGAAATAGGAATAACCACATATGATAATAACAAAAATGTGTATTATATTAATAAAAAATCAAACAGTGCTATTGATTTGGCCCACCAAAAACACTATCCCCCAAACAGTAAACAAATATATGCTGTATATAACTAATTAAATTCTTGTTTTCCTTCGTATTTTGTATTTCCTTTGTAATTTGTATGTAAGTATAGTCCAGTGTTATAAAATAGATTTTTAAAAAACTTACTTTGAAGCCTACCTACCTTCTTATTTGCATATCTTTTTTTTTTCTTTTTAACCCTCGGCCTACCATAAACATTGCATTTTAGAATTAACATTTCGGCACCACTTGTACAACCGAGAAATGTTTATGTTTGCACGTTATAGTGACCTACTGTCTAGTATCAAGTTCATTTTATTGTGCCTACATCTGCCAATCTGGAACAGCTGAGCACTTCAGCAATATTAAGATTTCTGTCCATTGTTTAGATTTCTGCTCAACAGTTAGAGAAGTCAGGTAGGTACTGATGCAACCACAAGAGGTGCAGGCGTACAGCTACCAGAATGGGTATATTTGACGCACTTTCTGAGCCTGAATCACCGCATCAAAAGCTACTGCTAGCACCTGATTCAACTCAAAGGCGGAGATGACATAGTCTGTTCTGACAGATGCTACACTGTACTGACTATAAAGAGGAAGGTGTTGACCAGGCTGTGAGTTATAATTAACAGTGGTCGTGGAGTTCACCCTCTCCTGTACATTGTTGCGTTATCCTGCAGTAACACACCCTCTCCAACTTAGAATAGGCTTGTCAATCAGCTGATTAGTAGGATCAGGTGTATTTAAGCAGGAAAAAAACATGCAGGGCAGGGGCTACTCCAGGACCAAGGGTTGGGAACCTTCCCTATAAGCAGTACCTTTCAGCCAATGTTATACAATTAAGATGTAACTGGGTGTGTATCTTCCAAAACAAATAAAAAACGCCTTTTCAGCATAAGAGCTTTCAAGCGGAGACCAGTGCAGACATGAACTAATGCTTTTAAAGTCTACAAAGCAGCTAAGCAGCGACCAACCTCTGCCGAACCCTTCAAGAAGACACCCAGCCAGACGTCAGCGTATCCTACGGACACCACTCAACCCCGTGACCTCCCAGTCTGGTCATGAGTGGTGGAGTACAGTGCAGTCATTCTGACTTCTAAAGAAACATTAGCGTACTTCAAGACTCTGCTGTGAACACCCCCCCCGTTATTTAATTGAAATGCACACTGAGGGGTTTGCAAGGAATGCCTGACTTCCTACAGCTCTCTTTCTATGCCTTCACAATGCTGGTATTGAGCAGCTTTGCTTCATCTATGCTTCCTATTGCTTCTGAGAGCAGGCTTTGTCATAGGGAGCTTAGATTTGAACTGGTTAGCCCTAATGTGCTGACGCAGGACCTGAACCATGATCTGGGGAGAACTCATCAGTGCATCCATCCATCTATTTGTTCTCCATTCACCCACCAAAGCGTTCTTTGATCAGCAAATGGAGCACATGTTTAACCTAGGCTTTTAGTCACGTCGTATTTAGATTTAATTGTTGGCAGCCCATTAAGGACACTACAGGATGAGAACTGCGCGTGGCTTGAGCCATTTGGAAACCATTGCTAATGGTTTTGTTCCCAAACCATTTCTCCATATCCACCGTCTCTGAAAGCCCTCGCTGCCATCTAGAACGTTGATACGGAGCATACACCACCAGCATCTCTAAACACACCAGGGCCCTATCGGTAGGTATATAAAGCTGTCATGTTTATGTGAGTTTCCTTTTTTACACACCTATATTCACATATAACGTGCAATCAATTCTACTGCATGAAGCGGGACCAGTGCTGTAAATGTAAAGGGTTTGTTTACAGATCAATGACCTGCACACTTCTTCTTTAGTAAAGGCAATGGCTCTGTTTAGATCCATGAGTCACTATGGAACCACCTGCATGCTTAAAGGGTTCTTTGCATGGTGAAAAGGTAAAATGGTTCTTCAGACTGATGGAGATGGTGTTATATATGTTTCTTAGAGAAGCTCTTTGAAAATGGTATGTGTAGGACCAAAAAGGGTTCTGCTATTGTTATGATGTCAAGCTTGTAACAATAGCAGAACCCATTTTGTTGCTATATAGAATCATATACAACACATTCTCCATCAATCTGAGGAACCCTTTCTCCATGCATAGAACCAGTGAAGCATGCCAATGCCTCTATATAGAATCATGGTTAGAACAGAAGCATTGCCTTTACTAAAGAACCTTGTGTAGCATCCCTGTATTTGTGCTGTAAACGGAAATGCCTCTTTAAGCTACACCCTATTCCCTTTTAAATCCACGAGGGCCGAGAATGAGAACTGGAGAAAGGCACCTGTGTGGCCAACAGACTCGCAGGCTATTAACTAGATTTTAGCTACAGGACACAATATGGAATCCAGGTCCGGGCTGGACGTTTAAAAGGCCCACGGACCGTTATTAAGCGAGGGCAGCGGGTTAGTTCGAGTAGTTCAGCTGAATCCATGTCTGACAGACGCGGACGCCGTGTTATAAATAGGCTCTCTCACAATCTGAACCCAGAAACGAGAGGAAAAGGTCTTTACCTGGGAGAAAAACAGCCGACGACACGGAAAGAGCGAGGGAGAAACAACGGAACGACGTCGAGCCAGCCTCGCGCTTCTCCTCGGTCCCGTGTTATTTCATTATTTCGTGGCTTCTCCGTCGCTGCAGTCGCCGCTGGAGAGCGATTATCTCCTCGTTCCTCCTCAGACGCAGCAGGAAAAAAGAGCGTCGACGTTAATGTCGGTCACGCGAGCGTTCTGGAACGAGGCATTCTAGAACCAAGCGTTCTAGAACGAGGCATTCTAGAACGAAGCAAAAATCGCGTTTTTTGTTTTTTGTGGTCTCCTCAGAGCTGACAGGCGGCCGTTCTGCGTCTCTCCTCAAAAACGGAGACGACGGAGAAGGATGGAGCCGTGTGACAGCAGAGCTGCGCGCGCAGCAATCGCTCTCTAAGCCGCTGTCTCTCACGAGAGAGAGAGAGAGAGAGAGAGAGAGAGAGAGAGAGAGAGCGAGATGAGGAGAGAGAGCGCAGGCGCGTTAAAGGGTCCATCTCACGTAAAATTGTGTTGCCTTTTTTTGAAATACAGTGATTTGATTTAACAGGTGAACAACGTTAAAGTTTTCATATATTGAAACTGTGCTCGTTTTGAATTCGTTGTTTCTGGGATAGAATGAAAAGCAGCGTTTACATGTATCTCTATTTTCAAATTGGGGGACACCGAGGAAGTAAGTGGACTTGAAAATGACTAAATTAGAGAGAAAAAAGTTGGGAAAAGTACCCAAAAGAATCAAATAATAAAAATCTGCCTATTCAGCATAGAGCAGTTTAGCTCCGCCCAATTCATGATGAAGTTCTAAGAGGTGTTTCAGCTCGGACTGCTTTTCTAATGAGGCACATATGTATATATGTGTGTGTGTATATATACATGTATACACACACACACACACACACACACACACACACATGCGTCAGTCTTAAGGGCACGGTGACAAAAATGAAGGAACAAAGAGCGGTTAAAAATGGCCATAATGTACAGAAACTCACACATATATTAAAAATGGTGTATTAAATTATATATTACATCAAAATATATTAAAATGAGTGCTTTACAACTGAAGGCCAAATTGTTTGCATTATAAAAATTTGACAAAAGAGCTGTGGCATCATTGCATCTACTAGTATTGTTACTAGCACACACTTTTGCTGAAGCCAGTGGAGAGCTAGGCTGTTGTTTTCCAGGTTAATGGTGTTTTTGATGGACGTCACAAAGGCTGATTTTGACCTTTGGGCCAGTGGTGGGCAATATGACCATGTTTATCATTATTGTGATAAATTAAGTCACATTACTCCATGTTTTTCGGAGCATATCGTGGACTTTGTCAATACTGAAGAACTGTATGTTTATAAGAAGGAGAGCATAATTAGTCCTGTTGAACTTACATGTATTCATAGTTTTTCATAGTGTATTTTTTAAACGTGGCATTACTAGTGCTTTAGTATCAAACCTCAGAGAAAAAGACTGTATCGTGATATATATTGTGCATCATGAAAATGTCTTGAAGTATCATGATGTTACATTTTTGCCATGTTCTTTGGACTGCCAGGCTGAAACATCAACGAAGAGTGATGTTGGCTACAGTGCTTTTGGCTGCTGATCTGAGCCCAGTTCTGTGCAATCCTAACGTCTCTCTGTCTCTCGTAATTGCTAATGTCAGGGCTTTGGCAGAGGCGGAATCCTGGATCAGGTCTTATATTGAACCTCCTATCAGGAGCAGAGGGCTTTTTCCCCAGGGAGGCCCTATCGCTACCAGCCAGCCTGGGGCCATGCCTACAGCAACTACACTATTGTTCCACTGGGGGAGAAATGCTGAATGGACCTTAATGACCTGCAGGTCTCGGGTGTAGCCCCCCACACACAGAAAGTGAGATGGGGAAAGTCAGAGTAACGTTCTATAGCCTTTGCTAATACCGAAGAGCATTTATACACCTAATTTACTGCTTCTTAGGCATTCAAGGGTTAACACTTATGTTTCCAAAGGAAATGAGTGTCTATTTTGTAAGGGTGAAATATCAGTACTTGCACTGTGTGCTACTTTGAGAGAACAGGAAAAAGGAGTGTGCCATAAATACATAAAAAGGAGAGAGAGAGAGAGAGAGAGAGAGGTAAAGAAATAAATATTGCAAGTGTGCAGTTGGAAGATAAAGAGGCTGCCTGAGAAAAATGAGTAAAATATGATGGGTAATGAGAACGCATTGATAATAACAAAGCAGAGACTAGCAGAGAGACGAAGACAGGCAGATGAAAGAGGAAGGTTCTCCGAATTAGCATGACTGAATGACAGAGAGAAGAAAGAGTGAGCTCAAAAAATAAAAGAGACAAGAATAAGAGGGGAGAACGAGTGGAGGAGAAGGAGAGAGTCAGAGAAAGAAGGGTTCAGCCCCGTATCTTTGCCTGTCAGGAGCAGACTAGCATAAACTAAAAGGATGCTGTCTTTGAGACGAACCACCACTGTGAATTTAGGTCACCACCTCCCCCTCCCCCAACCCGTTTTACATCCCTCCATCCAAAATGGAAGAACACATGATGCAAAGCAGAGAGATACCCTCTGTGTTCAGTGCCATTGAAAGAGGCTGAATGTTCAGTCGTGTTCATAATGGTGTGTTTATTCAGGAGTGGTCCTACGGTGGTCCCTTTTCATTGAAGCCTGGGGCATATGAGCTGCAGTCAGTAATTGGAAACCTATAAAGTGAACCTATATGATAGGTGTACCTGATAAAATGGCCAATGAGCATAGAGAGGTGAATGTGAAGAACTAGCAACTAGGTGTATAAAAAGTCCTTAAAGAAGCCATATATGTATATATATATATATATATATATATATATATATATTATATATATATATATATATATATATATATATATATATATATTTTATGGGTTAACATAACAAAGATGATCATGAGACATTTTTACATGGCCATTTTCCAACCTCTCTTATATTTTATTAAAGATAAATAACCTCTGTTTTGATTGGCTGTCCTGTATTGTGCCTCATTTAAAAAGACTCACACTCTTTATAACTTCTGTGTGAGTAGCCAGCATATGGATACATATACAGATATAAAATGCATCAGGATTATATTCCCCAGCGTTCATACAATGGCAATATTTTTTATTATCAGAAAAGAGTTAATGTGAGATAATTAAAAAAACAAACAATATCTCATCTGGTGTGAAAATAAAGGTGGCAGAACACAACAGATGCTCCATTTCTCAAAGGCTGGATCTCGTAAATGTATTTCTAATGGGCGTTCCGATGCAAACATTTGATACACTTGCCACGTCAGCTGGAAACAGTTACTGCATACTTAGAATCTATTGCAGCAAAATAGAAAGATTCCAGGTCTTTGTGAAAACAGGATGCACTTTCATTTTAGGGCCACATGGACGACTAATCTTCTCACCTGTATTCACATCACTATGTCATATGTAACACATACAATTTTGACACACGCCCCCGCTTTTAAGGCACTTAAAGGGGAATTCCACCAGTTTTACAAAATGTCAGCATAAATAAATCATTAATATGTCAACAAAGTCATTGAGAGTGGTGTGAAATGCATCATTCTAGAGAAACATCACGGCCAGAATTGTTCACAGTGGAGGTGATAGGAACCAGATGGTATTACTGGTATTAAACTCTTTAGATGTCTGGTTCCTATCACCACCACTGTGACCCTGTAAATTTCTCTAGAACAGAGCATTTTACATTAAACCACTCTGAATGACTCTGTTTACAACTGTTTAAAAATGCAGAAAATGTTAAAAAGTTGGAGGAATCCCCTTTAAGGGCCATTTCAAGTGAAAAACGTAAAGGTACTTGGTCTCTCTCAGTGGCTGTGCCCAGGCTGTCTACTATTGTTTTTATGTGTTTGTATCGTTTGGCTTTTGGAGACAGCTGAAGGCTGAATGGAGTGTTTTTCAAATGACTATTTTTTTCAGTATATGTGTATATATATACACGCACACACACACACACAAGAGGAACAAAGGTGGGTAGCCAGCTGTGCATGAATTTTTTAGATGCCATTCAGTTTTTCAGTACACATCCAAAGATGTATAAAACGTTTTGAGAGTTTAAAAATGTCTCCATGAGGGTTAAAGGGTTTAAGATCAAACTGGGCTCCGGATAACTGAGTGCCTGTTTTTAGCAGCTCAGTGCTTTGTTTGTGTGCTCTGGTATAAAGTCTCCCTCACCGCTGATAGCACTCGTCAGGAAACTGGCTGACACTACAAAGCCCACTCTGTGAAAACCAAAGTTCAACCAGCCATTTCTGTTGTGTTTCCACGAGTCCTGACTGAAGGAGAAGGAAAGTGAACAGCGTTCTCCACTTCTGTTACCCTCTGTTCATGGTCACGCAAGTCAGAAACAGGAAATAACAGTGAAAATAGAAAAAGTGATTAGCGCACATTTTCCCCCGACCTATTACCTGCTCACTCTTAAAGGGCTCACATCATGGAAACCTGAATTTTCCACATTTTCTAGAACCGAAAAATTTAGATGTAGCATGTAAACATGGTTAACATTGGCAAGTCCATACACTCCAAACATGGAAGTAAAGCTGCAAAAACAATTAATCGTTTTTTGTGATGTCACATAAATTGGGAAAGGTTGGGAAATTGTTGTGTAAAAGTAAATGATGACTGTTTTTGGTACATAAAACTACAAACTTTTACAAACCCCTTAAACTCCCAGGCTTATGACATACTAATGCTTAGTATTCAGTAAGTACAGAGACTTCAGTGCAAACTGGGTGAGCTATTCTTAGGTTATAGAAGTGTGTAATAAAACTTTGGGCCACTCTGGCCTACACAAGCTCATAAAAGAACATTAATGGAATTATTAAACGTACAATTCAATTCCATGTCATATTTTGTAATATGTAGCAGTAAATATGTTATACGCATTTGTATGCCATGAAAAAAAAATACAAAACGAAGTTAGGATATAGGATAATGGCCCTTTAAAGTGTCAAACCCAGGATCTTTATGGTACTGAGTAATCACTGACTTTTCATTTTTTAACACTGTGCTAAATACAATCCCATCTTGTTGACTTGCATTACTGATTTCTACAGAATTTACATCACTTCAGCTCTTCTTTCGAGGCCTTTTGTCATCATTACGATTTTCCTGTATTACAACCCAGGATACAGCTAGTGCAAGTCTCTCAAAACCTGTCCTTGGCCTGAGTCACTGCTCATGATAAGATATACTGCTGAGTCTGTGTCCGCAATAAATGTGAAATCAAATCATGGCCTTGAGGCCTCGTGCATTCGTTCACACACAGAGACCCACGTAAATGCTCGTTTACATACACACAAACCACTTGCATGTATAAGATATTCTGCTAAAGTGGATGATCTTATGGAAAG